GGATGAAACTTTGGGGTAAAAGAGACTCGTCAGGATATGAAAGTGAGAGCAACAACTACCCGTACCTTTACCGTAAGCGCAGTATAGATGTGGATAGCAAAAGGTCTTGGAAGTCCGGGGGCATAAAACTATGGGGCAAACGTGACATGGCCGACGGTGATGTTGATTTAGTCAGTAACTTGCGGCCAGCCGGCGGTGTGAAGAGGCCGTGGAACTCCGGCATGAAGTTATGGGGCAAAAAGCGAGCCTCAGATAGCCTGCGTGATTTTGATTCTGCCAAAAGCGACTCCTGGATACAGGATGGCAAAAGAAGTTGGATTGGCAAAAATCCTTGGGCCACAAAAATTGGCTTTGATCCATCCAAACGCTGGAGGTCAATGAAATTATGGGGGAAACGTGATTCTGGCCAAAGTCAGCATGACTATGAAGATGCCTTGAACAAATGGAACTCCATGAAACTTTGGGGTAAAGATTTAACCAGTTTAATAAAGGCGGAAATTGGAAATAATTCAAACACTAAATCATTGTCGAACGAGTTTGAAGAAAAGGTTTTCGATCATGGCGTTGACAATGAGACTAATACAGAAACAGGTAGCAGTCCCTTGAATAAGGAGATTTCAAACGAACATGTTACTACTCGTACACACACCTTGAGTAAACGATCTGGATGGATGCCACGAGAAGGGCTTCGTAACATGTGGGGTTAGGGGTGTAATCCACAGCAGTGAACACAGTGACCTCCTTCATACTTTTAATATACAGGCACCCTACTTTATTTAATGTATGTTTGTAAGCCATCTCCGATGTCTAGTTTTCAGTTTCTTTTCTTCTCTCACTATCTCTCAATATTGCTCTTCTTTCTCCTGTTTGAGTTCCTCTTTTAGTTGGTCGGTCGTAACACAATAGTACTTCAGACAGGTCTAGTAACTAAACAGCATCTGGACTTTGAAAGTGTCTTCACAGATATGTGGCTGTAAATTAAACATATAGTCTACAACTTCAGACATGTCTAAAGATCATCTTACGATAAATCAGTTTAAAATTTGATGTATTTTAGAGTAACGGTAGAGTAAGACTACACTCTACCAGAGCGACAGGTTGATTTTCCAGATATTCACCGATATGTCTATAGATAAATAGACAGTCATTTTGGCTCTCAGTCAAAAATATGTCCACAATAATAACTGTGACCCTGGTAGAGGGTAGAGTAAGACGTGTCGAAGCATATACGGTATAGATAATGAAACATTGCCTTCCTCGGTGGGGTTTTTGTAAAAACCTCCGGCGTAGGAAAATGTCGACAAGTTGTCGAAGTTTTATTCTTCATAGATCATAGTCAATGAATACCAAGACTAAATAATGAAAACATTTGCTTTTCGTCAACATAAGAATTGTGGTTCATGAGGCAATGACACTCTTTTGTTCAAGTCCAACAAATTTACATTTTGATCAAATAAAATAACAGAACAAAAGATTGTTACTTGCATTAAGAAGCGATCATGCAATTTGTTGGGAATGATAAAGAGTTTTTTTTCTCTCAGACTGTTTTTTTTTTTTTTTTTTTTGTGGTAGGAGACTATATACGGAATGCCAAAGAAATATAACATGCGATTATTAATGTTAGAATTATTTTTGTCTCGAGATGAAGTTTGGAACAAATGCCACAATCACAGTAATCTATCGATAATTGTGATGTAACTGTTAATCAGATTTGTTGTCGGTAGTTTACTCAGATTGAAGACATGATAAAAAGAATGACACATGCTGTATTGTTGAAAAACATGCTAATAAATTTTATTCTATTAGTATGCAACATATATTGCAAATATGTTATTTTTTCTTTTATTTTTTTAATTATTGTTTAAATTAATGAATATTAAAAAAATCATAAGAATTCTTTATACATAAATGGCATTTCTTTTACATTTATCTTTCTATACTTTCTTTTGTAACAGTCTGAATGTCTATGAAGCAGTTTATACAGTGTGCAAAATTGTATGAAAGTGCACACTTGGCTAAAGCCTGAAAAAAAAAAAAAAAAAAAAAAAAAAAAAAAGAAAAGAAAAATACGTAAAGGGCATTTGGAATTCAATAGGGCAAACGTGTAGGAATTCAGTGGGCCCCTCGGAACACATAAACCAAATGTATTGTTTCCAACAGAACTCTGCGTGTCGTTTCAAGAAGAAAAATCTCGCATCACTGACATTACAAAATAGTAATTGCGTGTGGATAAGAACAGGAATGACAGAAATATGAGGCGACACACCTACTGGGTGACTGTGTGACCTTAGCTAAGGTCGAGATATTTTGAAAAAAAAAATACGAAATTCCCCTGGTATCTATAGCGGGAAAATAAGAACACGTGCGTTAACGGTGAAATTGGAGTAGGCGGCACCTATATCGAGCTTCAAATGCCGTTGACTGATGATGTCTACTTGAAAGAAGTCGCAATCAATTTTTTAAAATGTTATGATACACTTCTAAAAGGTTCCGTTCAATCAGTTTATTTATTTTTAACAAAGGTCACCTTATTTTAAGAGCATGCAACATGCAAATTTTATCACGCAACATGTATGACAGGAACGAACATGTCCACAGAAAACTTTTATCTGTCTTAAAAGAAAAGACCACCATTGAAATATCTGACTTCGACAACATTTTACCTCAGAACGTTGCAGGAACGTAGGCCTATGTGTCAAAGTTATGGAACGTGACTTAATGCAATCTAGCAAATGAAATTAGCGTGCTTTTTCAATTGTGTGGAACCACAACAACATATTTTCAGAACATAGCGGATTTGGTGTTTTGTTTTTGAAAAACAATAAGGTTAAATGCTCTATTCAGCATAAAAAACATCACTGGAGCACACGCGTTCTGTTTCACTCATCGGTGCTACTCGGTCATTTCTTAGCAAAACGATAACCACAGCCACATTATCACACTGAACTTTCACAATTAAAAACGATACCTGGTTAGACGCACTTCCTTCCCGTAGACTGTTTCAGTGACAATTTGATTATTGCTTGGTTCATTCAGGATTGCAGACCACGCGTATTCAAATTGGAAGGAAAACGTGCTTATTACAAGCGATTTCTTCGCGGTTTCCTTATATCAAGCAGCTGAAAGACTATCATGCCTGTCACGCAGAGCGTAATCTTAGACCTACATGGGGAAAATACCTTGGTTATGTAAAGCACTTTCAATGCTTATGTAGATCTAACAAAATCGGTTCGCTTAACATGTACTTTCAACATCTTAAAACATAAATATTTTCAGTACTCGTACAAAGAGAAAATTTTTCATAGGGCTCAAACGTGCGTTTTAGCTGCTTGAAATCAGTGTGATTAGATTTTATCCGCCCTCATTTCTGCCTTGATCCTTCCAGTAATTACAATATTTAAAATATTAGATAAAAATTGCAATGTTTGCTAAAAAAATTAACTGAAATTTGTTGAACAAATCAACGACAAAATGTCCTTGTTACTGTGATATTAATTAGTGGAATGTAATGCTGATTTCATCCAACATAGCAATATCCAAATAAGGCCACCGATCTCCTAGAAAAATAAATGCTGTCATTTTTTCAAAGGGATACGTAGGCCTACTATACAATCTCTTGTAAAACAATACTGGAGCGTTATAAGCAGAAATTAATAAATTAAACAATAAATTAATTGATAGCTAAAAATGTTATATTGCTGCTGAAAATACATTAAAAAATACATATAAAAAGGTATGAAAGCAAGAATTTTTGAAAAAAAGAAAAAGAAGAAAAAAAAATTCCAAACATCTTGAACAGCGAAGTTAATTATTGCACATTACATTTCAATCTGAATAGTCTTAGGATGAAACCAAGACAGAATAATTACTTAAGTAAGGTAAACCTAATAGGATTGTGGGTCAGTAGGCTCAAATGTCAAAAGAGAACACCGTATAAAAACTGAAATTCTGAATTTAAGAAGCTATTAAATATATGCTGCGTCTGTTAGTCAAAGTGAATTGTTTAGTTGTCCGTTCTCTCCTAATATTATTCAATAATGTTGGTAAAATCATCTGATTCAAAATATCGTTTACGCTTCTTGTCAAATCGGTTTATATTTAAATGGAGTTTGGTGATTATGACATTTTTTGTTGTTTTGTGTGTGACTGCGTGCGTCCAATCGAAAGTGTGCACGTTTATTTTCAGGCTATGATATATCTAATAGGCATGATAAAATGTTTAATATTTCATGACAAAAAATCCGAGGAAATACAATTTTAATGGGTAAGCCTATAAATCTGGTGGGGCGGGACTCGCCTGTATTTGCCAGACGCACTATATCACAAAACTAGATGGCTTTCTGCTCACCCATGAACTTCCTATCCATCGTGAAAAACAACTTATCTATATCCAGCTGAATTTTTGTCTTAAGTATGCCTATTATTCACAATAGGCCTATGATTGAATTCGAATTTTTTACACATTTCAAAATAATCGAAAGCAATTTGTAATAAATAGCGTTATATTATAATTTAAAAATTGAAGCCACAGCTCAAACATAAGAAGCTAAGAAAACAAGAGTGTTTTGTGACAGTTCTAAACCATGCAACGGTCAGTCGAACACTGCTCCACTGAAACGGATTGTTGGAAGTCAGTGGTTGGAAGCGGAGTCCGAGATATGTAGATGATCGCTGCGCCATCTTTTAACAATGGCTGTAAATACAAACTTCCAGAGCGACATCTACATCAAGTAACTAAAAAGGAATTTCATGACTTGTTTTTACAATACATCAATCGGTAATGATTAAAACAAAGTTCTGCGACGTCGTCTCCAGCCTACTGTAGATGTATGAGACTGTACATGCATCCACCGAGTATAGCACTTACGTTGAGATTTTATGGAGCGGAAAATCGGTTTAAGTGCATCCCATCATTTCATCAACGTTATTTTTTACGAAGCTATAGAATATACACTAACAGGTGAGCGAAAGAAAATGACTAAAACCCGTCTTGTCTTGTGTTGCTATTAACGATAGGTAGCGCTTAATGGCTGTTTCCGGTTTCTGTTCCACGAAATTATAGAGCAACGCTCCGTCAAGATAAGTGTTGTAATGAATGGCAATTGGTGAAAACGATATCGTTCACGAGAACAATATGGAGATATCAGAAGAATGCAGCGATTCTCCCAACGAACGCTTCATTTCGGTGCTTGACGAAGTGGAACTTAGAGTTGAGGGATTGAGGCAGCAAGCATTGGCGGTTGAAAAAGAAAAGGAAAGTCTTTTGCAGACATTACATTGTCTGCAGCAAAACCCTGAATTGTATAAGGTTACCCACGGTAAGATTGTGCTTACTTAAGTTGTGTGACACTTTCTGAATCCTTGCTACCTGTAGATCCAAATAGGTATTTTGATTGGGGGGTTCTTTTCAAGAGTCAATGTACCAGCGATATGAATATGACATGCAGTTCTCTAGGGACAATACAGCGCAACACAGTGCAATACACTTGAAATAACGAGTCCAGTCACAAGTAAACACAGAACCCCTATAGGCATATAAGTTCAGGTGGAGGGTCTGCTACAGGTAGTGTTGGCCACTGTTGGCCTGTGTTGGCCCCTAGTCTTACTGAAGAACTGCCATTTGTAAAGACTGTAACTGCCAACCAGGTTTAAAAAGCTAAAAAAATAAAATAAAAGAAATAAATGGGTGGTCAGGGGTGTGGTATAGTATCTTAGCTTTTGGAAATGGTTAATTTTGAAGATCCTGTTTGTTACAGATGAAAGAGAGGAAATCAACATAACTGCTGAGCGCCTTATTTGCCGTTGTTTAACAGTGGACGTATCTGTCACAATTCCACGGACACCAGCCCAAGAACAGGCCTTACAGCAGTGCCAACAAATGATCCGTGAACTTGAAATTCAAGTCCGAGAAAAATGTAAAAGATCTACTGAAATTGTACAGACATACATGAATGCTTGTCTCTCTGAACCCAAGGGGCCAGTAGATCAAAAATTCCAGAGTGTTGTTATAGGTTGCACTGTGGATGATCAAAAACAAGTGAGAAAAAAATTGTGTGAATGGAGTCGGGTGTTAGCAACAATGAAATCTGAAGAATCAAATAATGTTGAAGGTGCTCATAATCTGGGTGTAAATGGTGAAGTCTACAACACAGACTGATGTGTATCTTATCATAACACTTATATAAGCACCTGCCAATGTATAAAATTAGTTATTCATCAAGCACTCTTGCTAAATTCTACTAACACGGAGTCATTTCATGTCAAATATTTTTACATGACCATTTTTATACCAAATTGAACTCAGGAACATGTAACATAGAATACATGAGTGATGGGGCAAATTTGCCTTGGTGTATTAATCAGCAGAGATTTTTGTGGTGCACTGTCATTCTTGATTCAGCCTTCCTTACCATGAGAAGAATGTGCTAATGAATATAATAATGGTTGAGGAAACAAATATTGACTTCAACACTTACAGTCTTCTGAAATGAAAGACAGCATATTCAACATTTCTTTGATTTGAAGTGTAACATAGTATAATGGTATGATTGACTCTACAAACTGGAAGAAAACATTTTTCTTATTGTGTATGCTATTAATGATGAATAATATGTCACGTGTCAGTCTGCATATCAAGGTTTCTGTAAAATGTCAGTGTCTCTTAAACAGTAATGATTGTATGTTCTGCCAACTTACATTGTAATCTGGGGCTTGTGCTTGGTGGAGAATACTGTTTTTTATTCTTAAACCATTTTAGTTTTTAAAAAGATAAAGCTCCACGTGTTGTTGGTCTTGCTGTATTCATCTGTTTAACTTTATACATACAGTGTATGTAATTGGTTTTAACAGACTGCCCAGTTTATATGTTCATATAATTTTGCATACAGCTGAACTTATTTCACATTCCCTCTGGGCATCTGACTGTATATGAGCAATCCAGAAACCATCATACATAGCAATAATAATAATATGTCACCTGCAGTATATGTTGTGTTCAAGAGTCTGTTTATATTGTCAGCTTTTATCTCATAAAATATGTTTATATGGACACTTATATTTGTTTTACTTATCACTTTTGTTATTTATATTTGATTTAGATTTTGATCAAGACGAAGTACTTTCTTAGAAATTGATAATTGATTTCCATTCTGAGCTTATAAAGTTTTTTATTCGTCCATTTCACTAGCCTTCTATAAAAAAAGAGGCAAAGAAAAGAAATGCAATTATTGAAACTAGAAAAGCACTCAGACCTCTGTCAAGGCAACTCAATTTGCATAACTATTAATCATTTTTGCATTAGTTAATTAATGTTTTGATTAATTAGCCAAATAATTAATTAATTAATTACCACTAAAATATTGTCTCTTTCTTAATTAACTTAATTGTAGGCTATAATTGATTGACGAACAAACGAATGAATGAATTATTTATTTATTTATTTAGTCACTACCAAAATCTAGCCCATTTCTGCCCTTTAAATTAAATGAGCCATGTAGATCTCAAGTAACAATGATAGGATGGGTGTCTGATAGAGTGCGTGTCGGCGCACCTAACACAATGAGCGAACTATTGATTTGGTACGGAACTCTTTATTTAAACTGATATAAATGTAACCTTTCACACCGAAAACAGGTACTGTCAAATCATTCTAAATCCACAAGCCTCAAGATATAAGCATCACGTTCTTCCACAGATTAATTTAATTAAAATGTGATTAATTCTAATCGATAGAATGTGTTTATTCACGGTGAATAATTTGGGTCGATATAAGTTGAAAAAATACACCTAGGACTACTAATTAGATGTAAGAAGATGATATGCATTTTAACATCACCAGCAACATTACTATTAAATGCGATATGTCACGTTGACGGGGATTAAAAAGCTTCTGAAGACTCGTCTCTTAATCTTCGGGTAATTTCCCTCCATCGAGAATGAAATGGCGCGAAAGAATTCAAGTCATAGTAGAGGGTGATACTTAGTATGTCTTGATCTGTAAAATATGATTGACGTATTCATCGCCAACGCCTCCTTATTTTTCTGTCTATTTTTCTGACAGGTTAGACTGACATTTGCATCATTTGAGGTGAACTAGATGTTAATGGTAAATATTGAACTATATACTTAATGTGAACAAGCATACGTGACATCACTTTGCCACCTGTTGTGGCAAACCTTGGTACAAATGTGTACAAGTCATTTACCATTAATTTTGGTTGCACGAAGAATGTAGACGTACTTGATCAATCGATTATACCAGAAAAAAAGCAAACCATTTATTGTCCGCGTAATTCTATTAATTTTTTTCGCTTCTAAATGTGGTTGAAAAACTTTTTTCTTTGACATATGGGGCAGGGAATAAAACAGCATCTGCACAACCGATCTATTATGTTTGTTCCCGGTGTCAAAGTTTTCGGGACTCATTGTCATAGCATAATGTAATATGCAATCAGATGCTTGTGCTCCCAGGGATGATTCAGCGGCGCATACTCACTTAACAAAGTACAATACTTACTTAGGCGGGTTTAAATCGATATGTTAAGTTCTATCAAAACGCTGTCAAGCAATGTTTTTTCAGCTACGGTAATCTCAGCTTACATTACATGTTCATTTACATGGGAATATACGCGATCAAAATGATAATAGATGTATAAGATATCATCGTGTTTGCCCAAGTGTTTATCTCTTAAAGAGTTTTAAAAAGTTAGTGCTACAGGGTGTGTTATGTTGCAGAGAAAGGATCTTAGACATTTTGTTGACTGCCAAAAAGTGAAAGGTAGACCAATGTGCACGAAGTCACACCAGTGGGATATAATGCGACAAAAAAGGATCGGGCCTGAGCATAATAATTCTTGCTTTACGGATAATTCATTAATCAATAAATATTTGAGTGTCAGAATGAAAAATATTTTTCGTAATGTATGAAATCATCCAGGTTATCTTGCAAAATAAGAAGCTGCCTTTAGGAGAATTTTTCGGAAGCAAGGGAATTAAAGTGCGAACAGTCTTGTGCGAATGTATATGATAAAAAGCTGAGCTGCAAAGATATGGCGATTGAATAGATTGTATTATGTGTGCAGTGATGTGCTTGAAATGAAAGCTAAATAACTTAAGTTGTGACCAATTCGTAGCACCCTGTTTATAATATTAATATATTACTCCAAGTCAAGTCCTTCGTTTCAGTGTGGTCGTTAAGTCCCTTTGAAATCGCGCGGCCCTAGTGCCCAGTCAAAATGATCTTTAATATCAACATTTTCAACATGGATTTTATTACAACGCGAACAAAAAGCGCTGCCAGCACTGTAACATGTCACTTCATTACCTTGCTGCATTACCTAACGTGTGGCCAATGTGGATAAAAGTTTTGCCACATACGAGTCGATTAATACAGTGCACAAACACACAGACATTGAAACTAAAACACGTCCATTCTTCGCGGACACTCTCTTCCTTTCAGCGCATTATTTATCTGGCCCTGCAGAGGGTAAATATTGCATGTGTGTTTTGTGGCTTTGCGTAGGCTCCGATTCATTCACATTATTTGAGAGTTCATTTGGCCAATTTCTGAATTCCCGATTGTGTTTGCTTGCAACGTCGAACAAAGACAGGGCTCAAATTTGGCAGTAATGACCCTGCCCTCTGCTATTCATATATGTCACTACCTTTCTTGTGAAATATTTAGTAATTGCCTTCGAGATCAAAATAGTAAAATCGGTTGACACGAGAGCTCGCTCTGGAGCTCTCCATCGATCCGGTGTCTGTCATCACGTAACCCACGGAAACGTGAGGGTTGACATAGACTTATATCATATCTCTAAGCAACAGAACGTCCCGTACAGCACTTGTTGACGTTGGTTGTCCAATTTTAGGGACTTGCTCTTTCCACTCCAAGCCCAGGGGTGGATTTATGACTATAAGTGGATTTGAGGATTTGTGTCCATTAGTACTTGGGATTTATGTTGACGGCTTGCGGAACACGACTCTGTTGACAGAGGGTAGTCAAGGACTCGAGAGCTGTTTTAATTTCATGAACATCCTTAATACAACTTGGTGTGCGTTTTAATTTTTTCGACAAGCCGCAAGACAAGTCATAAAAACAACGTGCTTCGGAGAAAATAGACTCAATTAAGTCACTTGAGCCGACATAAATGTCCATTATATGGAAAATTTATTGAGTGATGTTATTGTGGGAGAGCTATCGAAAAGATTAATTATACATACTCTAACTCATGTCAGCGGCGTTGATCGAATGTCAGTACCTCTAGCCTCGTGGGATGCCGAGGAACAATTAAAGCGACTAAGCGGTCAATTGCAATAATATAGAGGTGATCGATCTGGAAGGAAAGGGCAAATGAACTTTTAATCAAGGGAACAAGTTAACAGCAGGGAATAGTATACTTTATACAGGAATTAATAAGAAGATAAAAGTTGTGACGACAGTAAGAAGTTGTTTCCGTGACTGTGAACCGTTTCCTGTTGTTGAGAGACATATGACTCCAGCACCGTTCAATCACACAAAAATACCGGTGACTCAGTATCAAGGTATGACCTAATAATTTGTCAAGAAGTCACTTGTAACTTTTTCCATATAAATATATTGAAGTGACATAAACATGATGAAGAAGGCCATCAGTGCCAGAGGTTCAAACAGTGCGGCCTCCAGTGAGAAAAGCATGGCTATTCTCACCAAAGCTGCCAGAAGTCCTGCCGCAGGCAAAGCTACATTGGCCCCACCGCAGAGGGAGTCATCTACATTATCTACGCCTCTGAAAGGACCGTCTCTCATGGGGATCTTGGCTGCCAGACGGTTTACCAACCGTCTACGTGAGACAGTCCGGGAAAAGAGACAACTACGGGAACAGAATGCAAACCTCCAGCCCACATACCGCATGGAACCCAGAAACAAGTTTCAGCCAGGTAAGGTTGAACGGGCAATTAAAGACGTGGTGGACCAGAGACTGGAGGGATGCAAATATAACCCCAGACTATGTAAGACTATGACACGAGTTCTGAGCGAAGAGGTTAAAGAAAAGGTGAAAGGGTTGAAATTCGACAGGTACAAATTGGTGTGTCTTGTGACAATTGGAGAGAAGAAGAGTCAACAGTTGATGGTGACAAGCCGCTGCACTTGGGATACTAATTTCGATAATTATTCAACATACAACTTTGAAAATTCGAACTTGTTCTGTACTGTTACTGTTTACGGGATTTACGCAGAATAGACTGAACAAAAGAAACATGAGCTAGAAGCCCCTATCTCGGATCAAATGACGTAAAGTAAAAAACCGGCGATGGGAAAAATCGCACTATTCAAACGTCTGCATTTTAGGAGGGAACTGATAAAATGCAGGCAAATGACTCAGGTTTATTGCCTGTTTTTCCAAGTTTGGTTAGTGCAACAGCTTGGTACAAATCACCTTTAAAAATTCTATAGTCGCGTTCCTAGCTGGATATCCCTCTAACTCAGAAAATGTACCGAGACAATGGATTTACAAGTACCTTATTGATACAAGTGCCTTGTCACTTTTTAGACTTTTTTTAAGTAGATAGATTTTCAAGAACATGCGGGTTTTATATCGAAGTCTGTGTCAAACAATTTTTTTTTTTGCTTAAGGAAAGATATTTTGATGGTTAATGTATACGTATCAAAAGGCAAAAAATTCCAGATGCAATAACCGGTCCCCCAGATTTATACACGTAGTCGAGGGGGTATTTTAATAACACGCAAGTGGCTTACGTAGTTTGACAATACCTTACATTGCCGGCTTCATAATGGCAAATTGATTATATTGTCTAGAATTACAACAATTTTACCATACAATTTTCAGTAACATTTGTAAAACATATTGAAGTATAGTTTTGAATTATTTATATTTAATTGCTTCATAAATCAATTAGAAGGACGTTGACTTGGTGATTTCGAATAGTCTTTCAGTGTTTATAACTCATCAAGTGCCTTCCCTGAAATATCATGTATATAATAAATACACTAAGCAAAAAGGTGACACTATCTTGAATAAGGAAATTATATTATCAATCAACAGGCATATCAGCATAGGCCTAAACTTGATTCTAGGCTATATGTTGTATGAGTAAGTATTGGAAAGTAAAAATGGGAGAGACAGTGGCTGAGTAACTATTCAAAATTTTTGTAGAAAAACAATATTAAATTCACTGTTTAGTGTAAAAAAATGAAGTAAAACATTGCTTTAAATATAAGTGACATTTGTCTATTATGATTTTGACATATCGACACATAATCTCATTAAAAGCCAGTTCGTATATACGACCTCCTCAAAACATCAACATAAACCCCCTGTCAGTAACTAAGGTGGGGGATCAATAGTGAAGTGCCCTTCACGACAAGGTTTCACATCGCTGGTTTAGGTTACCAAAAGCAAACAAAAAAGTGAAATAAGAGTTGGGTTTGTCAATAGCTTTAAAAATACTGTCAACAAACTTAATTTTTGTAAAAAAAGAAAATCGATGAAACCTAAACGAAATTTTTAGTGCGCCTAGATAATTTTCGGTAGAATATTGGCAGACTTACACAACAATTATTCATAAGTTGATGACTATTTTACCCCGTCAAGCGCAATATGGAAAAGCGCATTTCACAAAGCAGTGGCAACGGTGCAGATAATACACTCCGCATTATATTAATTTACAGAGCAAAACATTTGAAAAAATATTTGATTGATTTATGCGATCATGCAGTTAGAGCGAACATCAACACTTCCCTTCAAAGAAAGTTTTTGTGCTCATCAAACATGTTAATTATTCAGCACACATTTCTGGCAGCAGAGAACAATGAAACCCGTCCAACACTGGCATAATGTACATCAAAGTCAATTCTACTTCGCTTAATGGAAGAGCAAATCTCATAATTTCCTGGTTTGTAAAAAGAACCGCCATGCAGCTCGGATGAAGAGGAAAGCCTTTTGTGCTGTATTTCAGTCTTTACAAATAAAAGGGTTTGAATTGTCAAATAGCCGGGAAATTTAGAGTCGAAAAATGTCGGGTAGTGCGTGCGACCAACATGGTAAGGGCCGTATTCAGACAGTCAACCTAAATTTGATAAAACCCTACTTCATTGGTTAAAAAGGACAAAAATTGATGCCTCGACACCGTTTTACCATACTGAAGTGTCAACTAAAGACGTCTGGGGTCTATGAGCTTCAGAAATAAGTGCCTATAATGTTAAATTCATAATAACATTATGTCCAAGATTCAGTCAAAGGGCGATTAAAAAAACGTAGACGTACTGTATAGAATAGATCAGAGTTTGAAACTCCATGGAGAATGGCGAAAACGGACGCCATTAAAATTCATTATTTGTTCTTTTGTGCCAAAATTTCGTGTACGACTTCTCTGAGCCAATATTTGTAGATTGGAACGAGAACCTCGAGACAAACCGCAATATCAAAACACTAAACTGGGACCACGCGCTTTAATTGATAATCAATTACGTTAAATTGTGCATCAACACTGATCCCGACTCCCCTCAATATACCTAATATTTATGAATAAAATATGTCCCTGCTGTCTGAAACTCGAAAAACATTCGTTTATAGACCAGATTGTTTATCCAAAATCATCCAATCAATGAACAGCTTCTGGCATTGTTTAGTTATTTTTATTTCTGGCAAGCGTGTTATTAAAAAGCACCCGTGCTGTATACATAGTTCTTTCCATAAAAATGGTTGTAAAAATTTATTAAAAATACCTTACAATATATTCATATCATAGACAGATCTATACCCTTAACATAAACTGAAAATAACACACAACAAAATACTTTGAATAGTATAAAACAATTAGTAAAATTTAAAAATACTAAAGTGCAGTTAAAATGGATAATGGCATTAAAATTCTTTGAGCTTTTGAGCTCTGAGAGAGAACTGGTTTGAAAAATACCTAGATTTGTGTCATGGGACACTACAAATATAATGTCCCTTAGAAGAGGATACTATGCATAAATTCACAATACTGGTTGTAAATATACCTGCACTAAGCCATTGTGAACGTATTCATGCATATCTTACTGCTTGTTCGGGCTTTCAAGCATTGTCATTGCACACAAAATCCCAGAATCAATACCAGAACACTTGTAAAAAAAGCAAAATTATAATTGCAAAATACTACACATTGCCTTTGCATTATTTGCCTTCATCTTAATGCTTCATGTGGAACATGAAAAGTCAATTACTGCAATTCAACAAAATAAAGTGTCACAATGAACTGACCCTTTGTATGTATGCCACCATTTTGTCACTATTAAATGGAACAAAACTAAGCAGATCTAAAAATGCAGCGGTATATTTTGTAAATTAGAATTCTGTATAACGACAACATAAAAAAGTACACACCTAATGCTACTTATGTAGGGTAAATTGTGTTTTGTACTGTTTACACCTCTACATAAAAAATGCTGATTACAAAATGATATAATAACCATTTTCACACATGTAAAGAAACTATTTACCATCCATTCAGGCTGTGTAAACAGACAAAATGAATTTTTCAAAACTAAATTTGCCTTTCTAGTTGCTAGGCAGCTCTATATCATACATAATTATTCTTAAAACAAAAATGAAAAAAAAGGAGGAAGAACAGTTTGGGAACTTTAATACTCTAGAAAAATACTAATGAGTGTACAGGAAGACATCTTAACATACTAGTATATTGGCTTATGAGGGCTTTTCTAAATTAGCCATAAATTCTTTCTTATTTTCCAGTGGTGTAGTAGTGGGTCTACCAAGATTTTTCCTTGCTCCTTTGTTCACTTTAACTTCCATCAATACAGGGCCAGCCATGTCTTTCATCTTCAAAATTCCACTTCTGATATCATCCTCTGATGTTGCAACCCAGGCCTGTGAGGATGTAGAACATGTAATAAACATACCATGCATCTGGTGTTAATCTATCACTTTTTACAGTACTTTTATTTCTAAACTGTCGGAGTATTATTCATGAAGCAGTCTATCATTTCTTAAATATTATTCAAAAGTACCAAGGCAACTACACATCTTTTCATTAAACTTTTTTTGGAAAAAAATTCCTTATAATTACTTTGTGTTAAAATAAACTTAAAACACCAAATCCTTATCACAAATATTTCTTTCTTTACATAGATACAAGGAAGCAAAGCTGTCAAATGTACAGACAAAAAACAGAAAATAAAGATGCAAAATAAGTCATTTTGTCAATTTTGATGCAATAATAAATAATAGCACTGTTAGTCAACACTGAATTTTAATCATGCACAACAGGTAACATGGTCAATAACAGGAGCGGACCCAGAGATATTTTCTGACAGTATTCCAAAGTATCTATGTTGATCCATCCTCCATTTTGATGGTCTTCCAACAGAAAAAAATAGATATCGGTCAATATAAACTTAAAAACCTGACCGTCTTCCAGAAGACCCAGAAGATGGTCTCAATCCATCCCTTCAATAAGATAACAGTTTCAGGACCATGTGAGTTCAAATTCACATGATGAAAGTCCCAATATTTGAAAAATGATGACAGTGCATAAAATAATATTACATAATGTTTAAAGACATAAAAACCAATACAACTGCTTATGTGGAAATACAGAAAATGTGCAGAGCCTCAGGCAGATGGGAGTTAAAAGTCACAAATGCCAGTGTCTGAGAAAAATTAATAAGGAAAACATAACAAACTAGAAAAGCACTCTGAGAGCGCAGACTTCTGCCAAGGCAGCAATTTTTTATTATTATTGATTATTGATAGATTATTGATCTGAACCACCACTAAAAACTAATCATTGTCCTCTTTGACCCACTTCTGACAGTTCCTGAAAATTTCATCAAAATTGGTCCATAACTTTTTGAGTTATGTTGATGATGGCAGAGGTAAGAATAATTCCAATGAAGCTGCTATTCAAACTTTTAATNCGTTTTCCATATAAATATATTGAAGTGACATAAACATGATGAAGAAGGCCATCAGTGCCAGAGGTTCAAATAGCGCGGCCTCTAGTGAGAAAAGCATGGCTATTCTCACCAAAGCTGCCAGAAGTCCTGCCGCAGGCAAAGCCACATTGGCCCCACCGCAGAGGGAGTCATCTACGTTATCCACGCCTCTGAAAGGACCGTCTCTCATGGGGATCTTGGCTGCCAGACGGTTTACCAACCGTCTACGTGAGACAGTCCGGGAAAAGAGACAACTACGGGAACAGAATGCAAACCTCCAGCCCACATACCGCATGGAACCCAGAAACAAGTTTCAGCCAGGTAAGGTTGAACGGGCAATCAAAGACGTGGTGGACCAGAGACTGGAGGGATGCAAATATAACCCCAGACTATGTAAGACTATGACGCGAGTTCTGAGCGAAGAGGTTAAAGAAAAGGTGAAAGGGTTGAAATTCGACAGGTACAAATTGGTGTGTCTTGTGACAATTGGAGAGAAGAAGAGTCAACAATTGATGGTGACAAGCCGATGCACTTGGGATACTAACTTCGATAATTATTCAACATACAACTTTGAAAATTCGAACTTGTTCTGTACTGTTACTGTTTACGGGATTTACGCAGAATAGACCGAACAAAAGAAACATGAGCTAGAAGCCCCTATCTCGGATCAAATGACGTAAAGTAAAAAACCGGCGATGGGAAAAATCGCACAATTCAAACGTCTGCATTTTGGAGGGAACTGATAAAATGCAGGCAAATGACTCAGGTTTATTGCCTGTTTTTCCAAGTTTGGTCAGTGCAACAGCTTGGTACAAATCACCTTTAAAAATTCTATAGTCGCGTTCCTAGCTGGATATCCCTCTAACTCAGAAAATGTACCGAGACAATGGATTTACAAGTACCTTATTGATACAAGTGCCTTGTCACTTTTTAGACTTTTTTTAAGTAGATAGATTTTCAAGAACATGTGGCTTTTATATCGAAGTCTGTGTCAAACAATTTTTTTTGCTTAAGGAAAGATATTTTGATGGTTAATGTATACGTATCAAAAGGCAAAAAATTCCAGATGCAATAACCGGTCCCCCAGATTTATACACGTAGTCGAGGGGGTATTTTAATAACACGCAAGTGGCTTACGTCGTTTGACAATACTTACATTACCGGCTTCATAATGGCAAATTGATTATATTGTCTAGAATTACAACAATTTTTACCATACAATTTTCAGTAACATTTGTAAAACATATTGAAGTATGGTTTTGAATTATTTATATTTAATTGCTTCATAAATCAATTAGAAGGACGTTGACTTGGTGATTTCTAATTGTCTTTCAGTGTTTATAACTCATCAAGTGCCTTCCCTGAAATATCATAAATATACTATATACAATAAGCGATAAGGTGACACACTATCTTGAATAAGAAAATCATATCAATCAACGGGCATATCAGCATAGGCCTAAATTTAATTTTAGGCTATATGCTGTATGAGTAAGTATTGGAAACTGACGTGGCTTAGTTAGGATTCAATTTTTTTGTAGAAAAACAATATTAAATTCACTGTTTAGTGTAAAAAAATGAATTAAAGCATTGCTTTAAATATAAGTGACATTTGTCTCTTATGATTTTGACATATCGATACATAATCTCATTAAAAGCCAGTTCGTATATACGACCTCCTCAAAACATCAACATAAACCCCCTGTCAGTAACTAAGGTGGGGGATCAATAGTGAAGTGCCCTTCACGACAAGGTTTCACATCGCTGGTTTAGGTTACCAAAAGCAAACAAAAAAGTGAAATAAGAGTTGGGTTTGTCAATAGCTTTAAAAATACTGTCAACAAACTTAATTTTTGTAAAAAAAGAAAATCGATGAAACCTAAACGAAATTTTTAGTGCGCCTAGATAATTTTCGGTAGAATATTGGCAGACTTACACAACAATTATTCATAAGTTGATGACTATTTTACCCCGTCAAGCGCAATATGGAAAAGCGCATTTTACAAAGCAGTGGCAACGGTGCAGATAATACACTCTGCATTATATTAATTTACAGAGCAAAACATTTGAAAATATTTGATTGATTTATGCGATCATGCAGTTAGAGCGAACATCAACACTTCCCTTCAAAGAAAGTTTTTGTGCTCATCAAACATGTTAATTATTCAGCACACATTTCTGGCAGCAGAGAACAATGAAACCCGTCCAACACTGGCATAATGTACATCAAAGTCAATTCTACTTCGCTTAATGGAAGAGCAAATCTCATAATTTCCTGGTTTGTAAAAAGAACCGCCATGCAGCTCGGATGAAGAGGAAAGCCTTTTGTACTGTATTTCAGTTTTTACAAATAACAGGGTTTGAATTGTCAAATAGCCGGGAAATGTAGAGTCGAAAAAAGTCGGGTAGTGCGTGCGACCAACATGGTAAGGCCCGTTTTCAGACAGTCAACCTAAATTTGATAAAACCCTACTTCATTGGTTAAAAAGGACAAAAATTGATGCCTCGACACCGTTTTACCATACTGAAGTGTCAACTAAAGACGTCTGGGGTCTATGAGCTTCAGAAATAAGTGCCTATAATGTTAAATTCATAATAACATTACGTCCAAGATTCAGTCAAAGGGCGATTAAAAAAACGTAGACGTACTGTATAGAATAGATCAGAGTTTGAAACTCCATGGAGAATGGCGAAAACGGACGCCATTAAAATTCATTATTTGTTCTTTTGTGCCAAAATTTCGTGTACGATTTCTCTGAGCCAATATTTGTAGATTGGAACGAGAACCTCGAGACAAACCGCACTATTAAGATCGTTTGAAATATCAAAACACTAAACTGGGACCACGCGCTTTAATTGATAATCAATTACGTTAAATTGTGCATCAACACGGATCCCGACTCCCCTCAATATACCTAATATTTATGAATAAAATATGTCCCTGCTGTCTGAAACTCGAAAAACATTCGTTTATACACCAGATTGTTTATCCAAAATCATCCAATCAATGAACAACTTCTGGCATTTAGTTATTTTTATTTCTGGCAAGCGTGTTATTAAAAAGCACCCGTGCTGTATACATAGTTCTTTCCATAAAAATGGTTGTAAAAATTTATTAAAAATACCTTACAATATATTCATATCATAGACAGATCTATAGCTAATGTGCATATCCTTAACATAAACTGAAAATAACACACAACAAAATACTTTGAATAGTATAAAACAATTAGTAAAATTTAAAAATACTAAAGTGCAGTTAAAATGGATAATGGCATTAAAATTCTTTGAGCTTTTGAGCTCTGAGAGAGAACTGGTTTGAAAAATACCTAGATTTGTGTCATGGGACACTACAAATATAATGTCCCTTAGAAGAGGATACTATGCATAAATTCACAATACTGGTTGTAAATATACCTGCACTAAGCCAGTGTGAATGTATTCATGCATATCTTACTTCTTGTTCAGGCTTTAAAGCATTGTCATTGCACACAATATCCCAGAATGAATACCAGAACACTAGTAGAAAAAGCAAAATTATAATTGCAAAATACTGCACATTGCCTTTGCATTATTTGCTTTCACCTTAATGCTTCATGTCGAACATGAAAAGTCAATTATTGCAGTTCAACAAAATAAAGTGCCACTAAGAATTGACCCTTTGTATGTATGCCACCATTTTGTCACTAATAAATGGAACAAAACTAAGCAGATCTAAAAAATGCAGCAGTATATTTTGTAAATTAGAATTTTGTATAATGACAACAACAACAAAAAATTGCACATCTAACACTTCTTTTGTAAGTTAAATTGTGTTTTGTACTGTTTACACCTCTGCACAGAAAATTCTGATTACAAAATGATATATAACCATTTTCACACATGTAAAGAAACTACTTACCATCCATTCGGGCTGTGTAAACAGACAAAATGAATTTTTTAAAACTAAATTAGCATTTCTAGTTGCTAGGAAGCTCTATATGATCCATAATTATTTTTTAACAAAAAAAAAAAAAAAAAAAAAAAAAAAACAAACTTTTTAGAAAAAAAAANNATTTTCTGTTTGAAGAAGTCTTTAATATAACCAAAATTTATTTTTTAAAAAAAAAAAAAAAAAAAAAAAAAAAAAAAAAAAAAAAAAAAGAGGAAGAACAAATGGGAACTTTAATACTCTAGTAAATACTTATGAGTGTAAGAAGACCTCTTAACATACTAGTATATTGGCTTATGAGGACTTTTCTAAATTAGCCATAAACTCTTTCTTATTTTCCAGTGGTGTAGTAGTGGGTCTACCCAGATTTTCCCTTGCTCCTTTGTTCACTTTAACTTCCATCAATACAGGGCCAGCCATGTCTTTCATCTTAAAAACTCCACTTCTGATATCATCCTCTGTTGTTGCGACCCAGGCCTGTGAGGATGTGTAATAAAATGTAGAACATGTAATGAACATACCATGCATCTGGTGTTAATCTGCCACTTTTTACAGTACTTTTATTTCTAAACTATTGGAGTATTATTCATGTCGCGGTCTATCATTTCTTAAATATTATTCAAAAGTATCACAGCAACTACACATCTTTTCATTAAACTTTTTTTTGGAAAAAATTTCCTTATAATTACTTTGTGTTCAAATAAACTTAAAACACCAAATCTTTATCACAAATATTTCTTTCTTTACAGAGATAAAATGAAAGGAAATTATCCCCTTGAGGGACATACTTTCATGTATAAAAAATTGACCATTAAATGCTTTAACAGAACAGGCCTCTCACCTCCTTATAGCCACATCCTTTGGCAATCTGTGTAAAGAAGAAGGTGTCATGGTGGCCAGCATCAGTTGGTTGACCCCCCACAGAATCGTGTGCTCCGTTATTGATGATGATATGCTTCAGATTGGTCGTACCATTTTGGCCTATAGTAGCCATGGTGCCCATATGCATGATGGCAGCACCATCACCATCCAGGCAATAGACCTGAAATTATAAAATAAGTGATATGTTGATTTATAGAAAGTACGACAAAAAGGAACTATTCATTGTTTTGCATTCAGTTAATTTTGAAAGTAGATTTCTGATAATGTGTAACAGTAAATAATTTAAATCACATTTCACATCAAAATACAATAAAACAGAGGTTAGTCATGTAACCCCACTTCCATAAATAATGTTCACTTTCTGTTACCTGTCTCTCAGGTTTGTTCACTGCAATTCCAAGTGCTATTGCAGAGGCATGTCCCATAGAACCAACTGTCAAAAAATCCCTTCCATGACCTTGATGTTTAGCTTCTCTAACAACATAATACAACTAGAGGATCAGAGAGGCGATACCGCCTCCGAATATTGTACCACCAGCTGGAGCAAGCGCATTCGTATAGACCCCCACATACACAAAATAAGGGACACAGCCACCAGTCTTATGCTTGACAAGCTATAAAAATGCAATCAACAAGAATTTTCAAAATACGCAAAAAATATATATAACTTAAAAGGGTACAATCAAAGTTAAGTTCATCGTAAGGTAGGTCAAAGGTCAATTTCAAGGTCACACTTAGATTGCCAGTATATGACTTCCTATTCAAGTTCAATAGTAACTATGGACCTATCTC